TATGTATTGATATTATATTGAGTGGTAACTTAAAAATAAGAGTAGATACTAATAGTGCAAGATGTAGTATCATTCCCCTATTTACTTCCTATCATGAATGAGTTTGATCCTATGCTAAGTGCCATACTGTTATTGGATTTAGACAAGTCCAAGGAGGAAACACTTAATAATGGAGATGAGAAGGGAACTGAAGCAGGTAGTAGAGAGGAGGATAGAGAGGTTGAAGAGGAGTATGAGAATTGGGAGCCCGTAGAGGTACCAGCAATGATTGAAGGTCTCTCTCCAATACCTTCTATTTTCGAAGCCGTACAACATTGGGCACCTGAGCACTACCAAATTGTAAAGTAATCAAATGATGTCTCAGAACGCTAAGAGATGGCTGGAGCTAGTATACCAGGAAGGGACGAGAGTACAGCTGCCTGGTAACTTCAAGCTTCTTTTTTAAGCACTTTTTTTTTGGCAGAAATCTTTGAGGAATTGGCCTATAATACTAGCAATTATATTGAGCTTAAGAATGGTGCTACAAGTACATTAGAAACTCAATGGTAACATATCTCCAGTGCTGAATTGCAGATTTTTGTGGGTCTTATGATATATATGGGTATATATAAGACAATGCAAAATCCTCTACAGTACTGGAATTGAGGTACTGAATTTCTGTCCTATGAGATATTACAGCATATATCACAATACCGATTGGAGCAACTCAAGTGATACATCCATGTTTAACCTATTGATGCTCTAGTATCATGACCATCCTGATAACAATGGTCTCAAAAGCTGAAGCCTCTTGCATCCAAATTAAAGACCAGCTTCTAAAGCTATCTTATACTAGTCTCACATGTATCAATAGACAAAATGATCGTCCACTTCACTGGCCACTTCTCTCATACTATTGTGATTGTTGCGAAGCCTATTCCTCAAGGCTACAAGATACTCATACCCTGCTAATATGGATATACATATGCTTTTTCATTTACATCTTGAGTCAATAAGTTCAGTGATCTTGACAACAATATCTACTATAGACCAAGTTAGCAGTTACTATCATCTACAACGTGTACTGTATGTCAAGTTATATAGTCACTAGACAAAAGTCTTGGTGATTGCTCCAGGTAAGACAAACTCTGTACACTGAATAGATACCAGTAGATAGTAGTATTACATGATATAAATAGCTACCATAGAGCAACAGTGGGAAAGATTAAGTCATGAATTAATAGCAAAGAGAAAAATCATAAATCCTGAATAAACTCTTATAAATTCTACTAGGACTTCAGATACCGCTCTCTTTATTTTATATATATAATACTTATTATCCACTATACCAACATAGAAATTTCCAGGGAAGCTGACAGATATAGTTATCCATAATGTCCATAAAGCTCTAGCTAGGACAACAAACTCAAGATATAAGATCCATAGATCTCTACTTGAATAGTTGTGCAAGAAAACATGGAATCGTTAATAACTGTAAATAATTATGGAAACAGGCCTTGCGTAGCTAACAGAACGCAATCTAACAGGCTTGGTATTAGTAGAAATAATTTATAACATGTATGAAGAATTATTTATAATGCCTTTTATGGTATCTGACATTTCTTTAAATGGCATCCTAGCTTTTTTAGGAAGAATTATTATGGTTGTTGAAAGGGTAGAGGAAATTGAAAGTGGTAGCTAGGGGGTGTTTTATTTTGATATACTATTGCTGACTAAGCCATCACTAAGACTTTTGTCTAGTGACTACAGTCATAGGAGGGTTGCAGCTAAGATGCTGCAACCTGCGAAAATTTGCTTGCTCAGCTTTTAGAGACACTCATCCTGAGTGCCCGACAGCTCAATGAAAGATTGCAGCTCAACAAAAGATTGTGGCTCAATGCAAGATTGTGGTTCAATATTGTGGCTCCACATAATATTGTGACTTCGCTTCGTGGCTCAATACAATTTGTAGCTCAATAGAACATAGTGGCTTATTGAACCTTGGTGGCTTAATAGAATTATGTAGCTTAATTATTGTCATGAGCCACAAAACTGAGCCACAAACTGGGGTTGAGCCACAATCTTTCATTGCACTGCAATCATTCATTGAGCTGTCAAGCACTCAGGATGATTGTCCCCAAAAACTGAGCATGTAGATTTTCAGGAGTTGTAGCGTCTTAGCTGCAACCTTGGCATGAGTATCTACCCTTTCATACTCATGCTAAGGTTACAGTACTAGGGCACTGCATCCTCAAAATTTTTGTGGGCTCAGTTTTCAGTGGCACTCACCTGAGTGCCCAATAGCTCAACATCACTTGGGAGCTCAGCATCACTTTTGTGACTTTACATTATTTTTGTGGCTCAACCTCACTGTTGTGGCTCAGTGTCACTTTGTGGGTCAACATCACTTTTGTGACTTCATGTAACATGATTGTTTATTACCAATTACTTTTGTTTCATATAAGAGAAACAATTGAAAATCTGGTAGACAGGAATTTTTTTCAACCTTACTTTCTTCTTAATACCTGCAATTATCATTTTAGATAATTATTTTTTATATCTCTGAACAAGGTGTCTGTGTTTGACACATGCCTTCATTTCATCTAGTAGTGGTTTTTACTCTGCCTTTTTAACCGTTTTTTGAGCATTTCGAGCTTATAGCAGCTGTTTTTCTACTTTTTCAACCTCCTTCTCTTCTTTTCCTTTCACTATCTGCCTAGCTTAAAAAGCATACATCACACCCCATTTTTTCACCTGGCTCTCGCTTTGTGCTCTCTGCCTAGCATTTCTTGCATGCTTAGCAACTTGTGAGTTTTCTATATATTCCTTTGCTAAAGCTCCCGACTGAGTGTAATGACCCTATATTATAGAGCTATGGCAACCTAAGTCACACCCATACGTAATACCAAGAGGTAACACGGTAGACTAGGTGGGCATGCGGGCGCATGTCGAAGGGAGATCTGATGGTCTGGATATGCTAAGAAACAGAAGGTACTTAAGGAATAGGTGTACCTAAGTAGTGGAAGTAAAGTGACGATGTCCGCTCCGCCCTAAGGTTAGGACAGAAGGCCAGGTAAGTTTACCCTGTCTAGGAGAGTCACGTTACCCTACCATAGAGACCATTTTCGTGTTACTATAGACATACTTACCCTACCTTTGAGATGCTATTACCCTACCATCCGTCGGAAATGTTCTTGCAGGAATTTCGTGAAATATTAGGATTGTTTGTTACGCAATGACGATCGACAGGCACTTGGTTGCACTTTGATCGGAAGACTACGGGAGGAGCTATAGTGCTCCGAACAAGCTGTAACTGGGTAGAATTATTCCTAACAGGTGCCTGCAGCCCCAGGGTTTATCCTGGGCGTCATGGGCCAAAATGGGTGGAGATGCTGTCTTACTAGTTAAATGGAGCTCATGAAGACATGTCCATAACACCATATACGTCACTACCGTCCGTCGGACCGGAAGCTGTTTGCAGGATATATAAGGGGGTGAAGGTGAGAAGGTGAGGTACCTTCTCCAAAAGGAACGGAGTAAAACGGACCAAAACTGACGGAGTTAGCATGAGCTATCCGGAAGGGTCCCCGGAGTAGTCCCGGGTAGTACCGGAGACATCTGGGAAGGTTTTATGCCACTCAAGCCTACACGTGCCCCTTTGCCGTAGGCTCTTTGTGGGTTGTTTGAAGACTCTAATAGCATGATACTTATCACGCTGAGTGGTGTGCCGGCGGTAAGGGACCATGGGTAGTGCCCATGGGTCTCGCCACTAATACAGCTCGACGTGGGAGCGCCATAGACCTGCTAAGTTCGTATTCAAGAAAGATAGAGCTTAGCCGGGAGACAGCTGATGTCTACGGGAGCTTGCATAGGTCATAGCACATGGGAAGAGAGTCATTTAATTAGCTTTCCTAGGCGTCTCGACAGTTAGCCACTAACAAGGCACGGATGCACGGAGGTTTTCACTCCAGCAGGTGTATAGGTAAACACCTCGCAGGAACTGATGTGCATATAGGAGAATTCTGCTAGAGTGCACTGACACCTTAACCCTTTAGAGGACACGCTAATGGTGCCGGGGCAACCGTTACGGAGAAGGGCATACTCATGATGGTCAGGGTAACCTGATGGGGGAGTTTTTGGTATAAGTCTGACTACTTAAGGATTATACGAGAACTCTCCTACCCCGACAGAATCAACATCCTCTCGAGAGACTTTAATTGAGATAAGCCTGAGCTTAACGATATTAAGTTTTACTGTTTACTTTTATTCTTTACACTTTGCAAGAGCTGTGTTCGAGAGATTAGAAGTTTGGTGCCATTGCATCCTTAGGATCCATCTACCTGAGGGAGCCCCCGTTTCACTGAGCTTGAACTAGTGCCCCCTCTAATATAAGCTTAAGTTATTCTTGAAAGGAAGGTGATATCTCGACAGCTGGTCTTAGTAACTCTTCTTCTTATTGTTTCATGTCAGAAACAGTGAGTGGCATGGTCAACTCAGTAACTTGATGTGGTTGATACTGAGGTACAGCAGAATTTGAAATGATAACTGCTTCCCTCAACTTAGAAATAATGATGTTAGGATTGTAGGAAATCAGTCCTGTTACATGAAAAGCTGACTGTACTGTAGATGCCTTGAATGTTTGCTGCTGAATCGATATGATCTTATCTAGAAACTCACATTTGTTCACATCATTACAGCCACTTCGGATTGCTGCTTCAATAGCCTCAGCATAATAATGCTTGTAGGGTTGAAAGATAACAACATGTAATGGCTGTAGTGGATGACTGGTACGTGGAGGGAGACAGCAAACAATAATCTTAAACTGATTGCAGAAGTCAAGAAACTGTGTGGTACAATAAGAACAAAAGCTATCCAGGATTAAAAGCTGATGGCTTCTGGCTAGCTGCTAGGAGCAAGACTTTTTGAAGTGTACAACTAGTGGGTGGAAGGTCTTGGCACCCCCGGTGAAAATTTTATCACAGTAGTGTAGCAAAAGAAAATTCTGCACGTTACAACTCACAATGCCAACATCGCGCCCCCCCAAAAAGTACCTCAATCGAGAGGAGCGGTTCCATATAATCTCCCTTCGGATAGCACAGAAGTCTTGGAGGCAGATTGCAGAGGAGACAGGAGAAAAAAAAAGCACTGTCCGAAATGTTGTCAGCCATTTTCTGAAGTACGGCACCTATGATGACCTACCAAAATCTGGCCGCCCACGGAAATTGGATGCCTATGGACTCAGGCGTTTAGGAAGAGCAGTCCTAAAAGATCCTGCAGCCACAGTTCACGAACTTGCACAGGAGGCAACATTGGATGCAGGAGAGAGTGCAGTTAAAAGAGCTTTGAAGGAGTTAAAGTTTGGAGTATTTCAA